GTTTCTAGCTCTCTATCTCTCTCCCTTTCTCTCTGTTAAAAATCAATAAAATATATTAAATTAAAAAAAAAAAAGAACTGGTGAGTTTTCCAGCTAGATCCCTTTCTGTGTTACTATCTTTTTCTATCTATGATATTTTTGGTAAGAACCAAATTATGGAGAAGGCATCCAGGTGTTATTCATAGAATTGTACATCTACATTTTTTATCCTTATACACAGAAAATAGATTTAGAAAATCCAGTCACACAGATCTTAAACTGAGTAAGTTAATACTTAGAGTGATGGAAGCATAGGTGAGGTGCCAGAGAAGATCAGGTCCCTGCCCTCCAAGGGCTCCCTGGCTGGAACTAACCAGTAAATAGATAACTACAATGAACAGAGATAAGTGCTATGATAAGGGTAGACCCAGAATGCTCTGGGAACACAAGACCAACAAGAGGTTGGGGTCTGCCGAAACCGGTTTGGCTCAATGGATAGAGCATTGGCTTGGGAACTGAAAGGTCCCAGGTTTGATTCCTGTCAAGGGCATGTACCTTGGTTGCGGGCATATCCCCAGTAGGGGGTGTGCAAGAGGCAGCTGACCGATGACTCTCTCTCATTTATGTTTCTAACTCTCTATCTCTCTCCCTTCTTCTCTGTACAAAATCAATAAAATATATTTTTAAAAAAAGAGGTTGGGGTCAAGAGAGGTGATATCTATTGTGGATCAGGCATTGGCCTGCTGATTGAGAAGAGGAGGGAGTTTTAGTCAAACTAAGTGTCACCAACAACCACAGATGTTCAGTATGGCTAGTGCTTGTACTAAAAATTAATTAATAATCTTTGACACATTTTTCCTTTCTTTGTACTCTCATCTAATATTTATGTACATGCTATTAATTTTTAATTACTACCCAATTAGCACATGTGCATGCTTGTAAAAGTTCAAAATTGCAAAGTATTGAAGGTAAAAGTTACATAGATGAACACATGCTTAGTTTTTATAGAGTTGTGATTGTATATATGACTTTATATTTCTATTTGTTTCACTCATTTTGTAAGTACTTTTCCTTATCTTTAATAGTCATTAGTTTCAATGACTGCAAAAGTTCCAATTATTTTGTGTCATATTAATTTAGCTATTCCCCTTTAATTGTATGTTTTTTCATTTTTAACTATTGTGCAATGTTGCTATAAATAGAATATGTATAGGTATATGTATATTTCTTCTTTTGAATTATTTTCTTTTTTAAATATATTTTATTGATTTTTTACAGAGAAGAAGGGAGAGGGAGAGAGTTAGAAACATCGATGAGAGAGAAACATCGATCAGCTACCTCCTGCATACTCCTTCCTGGGTATGTGCCCACAACCAAGGTAAATGCCCTTTGCCAGAATTGAACCTGGGACCCTTGAGTCTGAAGGCTGACACTCTATCCACTGAGCCAAACCTGCTAGGGCTTGAATTATTTTCTTAGAATATATTTAGTTGTAGTGATTTCTTTGCAGAGATGAACAGAAATTATAAATTTACCATTCTATTGAATTTATTTTTTTGCATATATGGTCTAAAAATGATTGCAAATCACTGATTGGTTTATAACTCAGGGGGAAAAAAATTCTAAACTGATTTTTAGAGAGGGAGGAAGGGAGAAGGAGAGAATGAAACATTGATCTACTGCCTTCTGCATGCTCCCTACCAGGAATAGAGACTGAAACCCTGGCACATACCCTAACCTGCAATCAAAACAACGACCCTTGGGTGATTGGGATGATGCCCAACCAACTGAGCCACACCAGCCAGGGCTCAGCAAAAATGTTAATGTCTCTATAGTGATTAAAAATTATATTAAATGCACCTTGGCCAGGTAGCTCAGCTGGTAGAGCATCATCCCAACACACCAAGGTTGTGCAGTTCAATCCCTGGTCTGGGCATATACAAGAATCAACCAATGAATGCATGGATGGGTGAAACAACAAAGTGATGGCCTCCTTTCTTTCTCTCTCTCTCAAATCAATAAATTTAAAAATTACATTAAATGCATTTTTTCCTTTCGGAGTTTATACCAGTAATTTGGGTGGGCATGCTAGTCAATTTCCCCTTGGAAAAATAATGCAAGTCAGCAAATGAGTTCCAGATTTTAGAATTCACCTGTTAAGGGTGATAGGGGAGCATGAACTACATGTTAAGCAATGTGATAAATGCTTTACCTGTGATGTTTTACTTAATTCTCAAAAGAGCTCTATTAAATAGCTCCATTCTGCCGATGAAGTTAAGTTTTTTCAGAGGACTTGTGTAACTTGCCCAGAGTTGCACAGTTAGCAAAAGGTTGGAGATGAAATGCAGGCTCCAGAGCCTGTGCTCTTAACCATTCAGGCTATTTATGGGGAGGATGGGCTGAGAGTCTTCTCAATGTCAATTATCTCTTAATGGAGGGTATTTGTTTTACAACCTGCGTCTGAAAGGAGCTTGAGAAAAAGAAAAACAAAACTGGATACAACCTCATCAACAGATGAGGATCTGGTCTGGAGAAATTTCCTTTCAACACAGTTGCTTATAATCAAATGCCTTTTAATAAGTAATTGTGCTGAGTGATGTGCCTTTCAGCCAAACCAAGCGAACAGAGTCTGTGTCCTCTAAGGACTAAGCCATGTGACTCTGCAGAGGACGTGGGTGTTTGAACAGTGACCCAGGAATACATGCATTAAAAGGCAAGATAAAACATTCACCTCGTATCGGTGCTCACCAGAATGAGCTTGGCAGGAAAGAGAAGTCTTCCTGGAGTAAATGGGTGACCAAACGGGAGAATGGGCAGGTGATGGATGTTGCTTTGGGTTTAACTTGAGAGACCAAAGATAGATGGATCCGACACGTGGGACTGATGCCAACCCAAGTCTAACTTGGCCTCCTTCCCGGGACTGTGCCTAACTCACCAATCAGAGGGCAGTCTCTTGCTCCACCCAATGTCAGTCATTTAATATAGACATATTTCTACCCAGCAGGCCTGCCCACTGGCCCTGGGTCCTGAGACTCAGAGCGGCTATGTTGCAAGTTCCTCCTTTGATGGGCATAAAAGATGGATCCTCTTATCTCCTGGCAAAAGTCCTTTGTTCAGACCTCCCCATGTCCTTCCCATGTCCCCCGTGTCAAGGAGGCATGAACCTGCCCTGTGATGGTAGAGCTCTTTGCTAGCAGCATTCTAGAGGAAAATTCCATCAGTGCCTTTTAGATACCAATCTGTCCTCTTGGCTTTACCCAGTCTCCTTAATACACAGTAACCAATCTATAATATTCCAGCAGTAAATTCCACTGCCAACAACTCCATCCTCTGGCTTGTGTTTTGCTGCAGTGTGTGTAATCATAGGTTCTATTCTTAGGCTCAGAGAGATGTACAAAAGTCACTTCTCTCGCAACTTGCTATATTTACCCAACATTTATATAATCACTAACCATGTACCAGGCACTATTTCCTATTATATGTTTTCCTATTATGTGAACTCATCTAATCTTCATAACAATTCCATGAGGTGTTATTTCCATGTGGCAATTGGCAATGCTGAGGTTCGTACCTACACAGGCAGGTCCCAGAGTCCTGACTCCTAGCCACAGAGCCATGCTGTCTCCAGAACTTCCTAGGAACCCCTGATGGATGTCTGTTATCATATGAGAACGGCATAAAGCTCAAGGCAAAATAGGAGGTTAAAACTTCAGAAATATGGCTGATCAGGAGATAGAGAGGGGGGCTGTCAAAAGAAGCTTGCAGTGTCCCGGAGGTACACACTGGCATGTTGGATACCCCCTCCCACTTTAGTGATAGCTGAGTTCAGTAGAGCAAATACTGTTGGTCTGACACTGTATCAAATGCTGGGCATGCATTATTTTATTGATTCTTCTCAACCACAGGTAGGCATTCCTATCATTATTGCCATGCTACAGAAGAAGGGGCAGGCTTGGAGAAGTAAAAGGTCTTATTCAGGATTCCATAACTGTTACGACTCTGGATTCAAACCCAATTTGTCAGTAGCTCTTAACACGGGTTCTCCCACCTAGGAAGAAGGGGGATTGGTATTGTATACATTTTATTTCCTTTTAAAATGTATTATGTAATATTTCAGATAGAAAAAAAAGGCACATCATGCACGGATAGGCTTTATTCATTCTCCCCACCCCCTCCCCGGTGCATGTCCCACTGAGCACTGTCCTAATATTAAGGATGTAGCAACAAATTACTTCAGATGTAAGGGGGGGTCAAGAGGAAACCCTACCTAAGTAAACCACAGGAAGTCACTTAGTTTGGCTACAAAAAAAAAAAAAATCTGTTTAAACACAGACTAAAAGCATCTTATTTATAATGCAAAAGGCAAGCAGCTGGGGTAGTGGGCTTTGGGAAGTGGAAAGGGCTCAATCCGGGAGCCATCATCCTTTACTCAATCAAGCATTTCCAGAGGCCTGTCTCCCATAAAGTGGGGGTACAGCCGAAAATTTGGCAAACAGGTCGCTGCCCTCCTAGCGTTTATAGTCTGGTGAGACTATCCCCATTTCGAGTCCCTGCCGACCTTCCGCTATGTTACTTAGGATAAGGAGCTTCTGCCCCTATTTTGTAAAATCAATGGGGTCAGACTAGCGGCTCTGCCACTCAAATTCGCAGCTCAGAACGCGACGCAAGCATCTGTGCCCAGCAGAGGGTAGGAGAGGCTCCCCGGCTCCCCGGTTCTGCGCCGCCGCGGGGAGGCGGGAACGCAGCTTAAGTCTGAGCAGCGTCCGGCGTTCGCGTTCGCGTTCTGAAAGCACTTGTCCCTCGCGGCGCCCCGTCCACCCCGCCGCCGCCGCCGCTGCTCGCGGAGCCGGAGGAGGCGGAGCTGTCTGTGTCCCGGCTCTGGAGCGGGTTAGCTGCGGAGAAGGCGGCGCGGCCGGCCCGGGTGGCCCAGGCTCGGGCGGGGCAGCGGGAGAGGCTGGCAGGCAGCGCGGGGGAAGAGCGGTGCCTTGGAGTGGGCGCTCCCAGCGAGAGGAGTCCGCTCCATGCATGCGGGCCGAGCCCGGCCCCTACGAGCCGCCGACATGAAGAAAGACGTGCGGATCCTGCTGGTGGGAGAACGTGAGTCCGCGCGCCCGGGCCGGCGGCGGCGGCGGCCACCGCAGCCCCCGCCGCCCCGGGCCTTCCCGCCCTGCGCCGCCCCGCGCTCCTCCTCGCGCGTCCCCAATGCTCCGTGCACCGTAACGCTTCCCTTTGGGCTGTCTGCAGGAGGCTCTCCACCTTCTCCCTCCCTCCCCGAGGCCCTCCTAAGACCCCCTTCCCTGTCCCCCATTCGCCCTCCCAAGCCGTGTCCCCATTAGTCCCTGGCCGCCCGGCCTCATCCCTCCGAAGGTCCTCTCCGCCTGTTCCTCTGCGAATCCTCACCTCCTGGGCCTCGGCGGTTCCAGGCCGCCTCCCGTCAGACCCCCTCGCGTTCCTTCAGCGGAGACTCCCTGGTCACCGCTGGGCAGGTGCTGGGACCAGCGGCCTGGCCAATGGGGAAGGCGGGAGCGGCTCCCGGGAAGCTAGGGGGAGGGGTGCAGGACTCCGACTGGTGCACAAGGTCAGGTTTCTGCCTTTGCCCCCCACCAACGCTGGCTGTCTCTCTCTCTCTCTCTCTCTCTCTCTCTCTCTCTCTCTCTCTCTCTCTCTCTCTCTCAGCATTGACATGAAGATAGGGAGCGCTTTTAGTGATTCTTTGTGCTTTGCAATTGGCACAACTCTGGATACACTTGCTCACGCCTTAAAAAATGTACTCTCTACTTCAAGTTATACAAGGGCTCAATGAATGAATAATTCTCTGGGGTCGGTCCTTTAGTCGAGAGAATTGTTGTTACCCGAAATTGTTGTTACTACTTTCCCCGGTCTTTATTCCGTGGCTACTGGGGAATTGATTTATAAATAAGGACAGGCACGCCGAGACCCAGCGTACACACATACACAGGAGAGACCCTTCACCCTTTGAAGATATAATGGAGGGGAAATGCCTTCTGTTCCCGGCCTTGGGGACAGGACAGCAGAGGCTTCTTGATAACATTGTACAAGTGCCATGGCTCCGTTGGTGGGACTGAAATGAGAGAGTGGGCTGGCGGGACTGGGCTGCTCGTTTTCAAACACAGGGTAGTTAAAGCGTTGCCATTGCTGTTTGGAAGCGCTCTGTTCTGGACCCCACTCCCTTCTAGGGGAACCCCTCCAGGTCCCTGTGATATTCTCCCAAGGAAGAAAGGGCCCCTTCTGTAGTGTGTTTTGCTGTTCATTGAAATCTCTGATCACCTGCTGTTTGGAGAAATCTCCCTTTAGAATTAGAAGTTGGAACTAAACTTTAGCCAGCTTACTTTTTTATTTGCAGTTATGAATTTTAATCTTTAACTATAACTTTTTCTTTTTTTTTTTTTTTTTTTTTTTTTTTGAGAGAGAGAGAGAGAAACATGGATGGGTTGCCTCTCTCGAGGGTCCAGACTGGGGATGGAATCGGCAGCTGAGGTGTATGTCCTGACTGGGAATCCATCCCTTTGGTGAATGGGAGGACGCTCAAACCGACTGAGCCACACTGGCCAGGGCTGTAACCATATCTTAATCTGTATTTTGCATGGACTTCCTTGACAAAGTTCAGGAAGGTGTTATTGAACATGATTCATGCTATGTATTTGGAAAAGCAAGGTAGGAAAAGGGCGTAGATGATCTGTTTAGAAACTGATCCTGACTGTATCCTCAAATGGCTTTATGGTATATTCACTTTTTTTCCTTTCTATAATATAATCATTTTAACATTAATTTTTAAAAAGCAAAAATCCCATGTTTAATTAGTTTTAAACATAGGAAACAGTTACATATAATCAGTCTGCAAAACACTTAATAGGAAGACTATACATATATAAAATATATTATCAGCCTTAAGACATTTAAGTGAAAAAAAAGAAAAGGAAAAACAATAACAAAACAAAATAAATTTAAAAAGACATTTAAGTTAAAATGTTAACAATATTATTTATTTAGAAATACAGAAAATAATTAAACATTTGTTAGAAAAATTATAAGCTATGTTCTGCAGAAATGAAAGCAAATAAGAGAGTTGACAAAAGTATACGTGCAAGAAGAGTTTTGTTTTTTTTTTATCAGAGGGTGAAACTTGACACGAGAAAGCCTTAGGTTTTGAGGAAGACATTTTTCTTAAGAAGTGTGATACCAAAAACTTCAGGACAGCTACCATACCATTATATACTTTTTTTTCACATTTAAAAATACTAGAAAGAGCTGAAACTGGTTTGGCTCAATGGATAGAGCGTCGTCCTGCGGACTAAAAGGTTCCAGTTCAATTCCAGTCAAGGGCTTGTACCTTGGTTGCGGGCACATTCCCAGTATGTGGTGTGCAAGAGGCAGCTGATCAATGATTCTCTCTCATTGATGTTTCTAACTCTATCCCTCTCTCTTCCTCTCTGTAAAAAAAAAAAAAAATCAATAAAATATATATTTTTTAAAATACTACAAAGAGGTATACTTATTTGAAACATTTAATTGGTTATTTTAAAGGATAGTATTTTGGAGGTGAGGGAGAACATTTTAAGCATTACTTTTTGAGATTTAATGTAAATATTTGATAGCTGTTAACCTAGCTGTAGCACTTTAAATACTAGGTACATATAAGTGTGATCAAGACTATTTTAAATAGTACTGCCCCGCAATGTGGATTTATCAGGAAAACCACTTTTTTAGGAAAATGTGGTAGTAATTCAGTTGTAGTTTTGTTTTGTTTTTTAAACATATTTTATTGATTTTTTACAGAGAGGAAGGGAGAGAGATAGAGAATTAGAAACATCGATGGGAGAGAGTCATCAATCAGCTGCCTCCTGCACATCCCCTACTGGGGATGTGCCTGCAACCAAGGTACATGCCCTTGACCAGAATCAAACCCGGGACCCTTCAGTCCGCAGGCTGATGCTCTATCCACTGAGCCAAACCGGTTTTGGCTCAGTTGTAGTTTTAAGATGTTATCTAAGGGGAATGGGAAAAGGCAAAGGAAAAAGGGCATCATATCTGGTATTGTAAAGCCTATTTTTTTCCATCACTTCAGCGCATTTTTTTGCTGTTAGTGTGTGTTCCTGCACCACACAGCCGCAGCTTCATTCATTGAGGCTCCTAAATAGTTGTGAATGGTTTCAGCACTCTCTTGCCAAACTTATACTGTCCTCTGAAGGTGAAATGGGCCTTTTGGCCCATCTGGAGTCTGACCCATCCAGGCTTTCTTGCTAACTAATCGCTTCATATTTATTTGATGATTAGATCAGAGAAGTTAGGCTGAACATACATTTTAAGGTGTTTATTTGCAGAGAAAGCCCAAGTGTTTTAAATATCATCTGCACCTTATCTTAATTATTGAACATATTAAATACCATTCAGGCCAAAGGAAACGTTAATTACCATCTTTAAGCAAAACAAAATGTTAAAAATCTTTAAAGATGCAACCACACAAATCTTAGTTCTTCAGGTTATAGCTTTTCATGGTCAGATTTGTTGGCCAAAATTTGAATTTAACTAGATTTGCATGCTAAACAAATGTCCTTATTACAATAAAATTAGCATTATTACCCTTTATCTGAATCATGTAGCTACATTAAAAGTCTACAAGGTAGTTTTAGTTTACTAAGGCCTTGCTTATAAATTAAATTGAGATGTAGTTGTTTTCTACTGTTCAAATTATTAAGAGAGTAGAATTGTTATTCTCTTTTTTAAATGAATCCAGTAGCTCTTACCCGATTTGTAACTGATTAGTTTATCAGCGGAACCTTTGACAAACTAGTTCAAGGTTGGCCTAGGCTTTTGCAATACTGTGTCTCCTTAACTGGTCTCCTTGCTTCTAATTTAGTTCATTCTCCATGTAGCAAATAGCCTCATCTTTAAAAAGTATCTCAGATCTTGTTACCCATTTTAAAAATTCCCAGGTGATGTCTGCTTTCACTTAGAATAAAGTCCAAACTTTTTAACTGTGGCTTAGGAAGTCCTTCACAATCTGGCCCTTGCTTTACTCTTGTTTCTTTTTTTCTTGTTTATTTCTTGTTTCCTTGGGCTAGAAAGCTTCCTGAGGGCAGGGAATTGGTCTTGTTTGTTTAGATATTGCCAGTGCCTAGAATAGACTGAGCACAAAATAGGCACTCAGATAATTGTTGAAAGAATGAATGAGTTCGGGTTAGTTCCATTTATTTAGACTTAACTTGTTTTCCAAAACATTCCTCTCAGTCATAAAAAATTTGATCATTCTTTCTTAAATCCAGTCTGCTGTGGTTATTGGTAGGATTTGAAGAGGCAGCATTCATCCCGTCTCTAGTCCCATGTCCTTAGCTCTGTTTTGTCTGGGAGATTCCTGTATTCTGGCAATAAAGTAGACCAGTGACTTACACTGACAATGCATGTCTGTTCCATGTCTTGGCTTCCAGGAATTATTGTTCTTGCCAAGCAAAGTCAACTTCTCTTTGAAACCAGAGGTTCATCTTAGAGATATGAAGGGGTTGTGGAACGATTCTTTAGGTGTAGGCTAGGGATAAAAGTTAAAGAGAATTCAAGAATTAAGCCAATAGTTATTTTAAGAAAACAAAAAACTCTCTGTGGTCCTGTTAAAGCCATATAGCTTTCCATACTGGTATTTGTTAGAATGATATTTGAAGATTAAACTGCTCAGTTTCAAATAGACAGTGTTTACTACTTGATTTTCTGATCAATATGTTGAAGTATCCTTTCTCCACTGTCTCTTGTTCTTCTGGCACCATTGGGCGCTGGTGTGGATCAGGGATAAAGGAGAGGGAAGATCACAGCAGTGGTCCTTCTGCAGGCCCCATCATCTGCATATGGTCAATAATATTTTCCTTTGGAATGATGCTCAGCTATTTTCCCAAATGCTCAAGTTTTCCACTTAAAGATACACTTTCATAGTCACCCTTCCCTTCTCTGTGTATTCTAATTAGAATAACTTAGGAAAAGCCGACATGCCTTCTTAATGAAGATACAAATAAAAAATGAGGAGTAGGTACCTTTGAAGCATACAGTGTCTGTTGGCGGTAATTGGACCCAGAAATATTATTTCTGTTTCA